AAAAAAAAAGGTGGCTGAGTGTGTTTTTGGTTGTGGCTGTTTCTTCCAGTCTGAAGAACCAACTCTTTGATTCATTAATTCTTTCTATTTTTTTTTTTTTTTTTTTAGTCTCCATTGCATTAATTTATGCCCTGAGCTTTATAATATCCTGTCTTCTTTGGGCTTTGGGTTTGACTTGCTCTTCTTTTTCTAGGAACTTGAGGTGCAGCATAAGATTGTTTATTTGTGCTTGTTCTGTTCTCCTGAGGTGGGAATTCATCGCTGTAAATTTCCCTCTGAGGACTGCTTTCATTGCATCCCACAGGTTCCTGTAGGTTGTATGCACATTTTTGTTTGATTGTAAATAGTGTTTAGTTTCTTTGATTTCATTTGTGACCCATTGGTTGTTCAGGAAGATGTTATTTAATTTCCAACTGTTTCACTCCCACATGTGTAAACATCATATTGTCTTGTTTGTGTAGGAACCTGAAAAAATAAGTAAAACTCAAAACATACAATAGGTGATAGAAAAGGGAAAGAAATTGGTCAAAGGAAGGAATGACTGGGATGAGGGAAAGAAGAAAAAAGAAAGAAGGCAAAATATAAATATAGATATGAATAGCTATGATAACTGTATTGCTGATGTCTGATGGTATATTGAAAGGAATAGTTAATGCTTAAAGTTTTTTATGTTCTGATCAATTTTGCATGCTTGTGTCTGGTAATCTGGGCAGGTGATTTGAAGGTAACAATATGCAATGGAATTACCATGGTGAATTCCTCCCATCTTGTCTAGTGAAACTCTCTATTATCTCTAATGTTTTATCTAATAATTATTTTCTTATTCTCTTTAGTGGTTTGAACAATCTTCCATTCTTACTTCTGGTAATCTGAGCAACTTAGTTGAGGATCACGATATGTAATATAGCAATCACTGTTAATTTGTATTATTTTGTCTTGAAACTGTATCATTTTAAATGTTCTTGCTTTGGTTTGTTTATGTTTGTGATACTGGCATGCTGTTATTGTTCTATTTTTTGTTTGTTTGTGTCTCATTTACTACTCTCTCTTTAAAATAAAAAAAATTAAAAAATAAGTAAAGAGAATATTTTGCTGGTGTCACTACAACTGTCTCTTGAAACCCATGGGCTAGTGACCAGACAATGGAATTTGTAGCAGAAAAACTCAACTGAATTTAAGGGTTAATTTCTCTCATAATTTAGAGCTGCTGGGTTTTCATTTTCTTTGTGGGTCATATTAAAAAATTGTTTATTCTTCTAAATGCAACATATGACATAGAGTTGTTCATAATGTTTTCTTTGGTCTTTTTAGCGTCTACAGAGTTGAAATGATGGTTGCATATTTTATTCCTCATATGGATGTGTTTTCTATTTTTCTTGGTCATTTTTTTATTTTATGGAAAAAAGTAAAACAAGATTTCATAACAAAATAGTGGTAGAATAATGATAGTTAGTTAATACATTGCATATTGTTATCTTTAATGTAGTTATTCAGAGTACAAGACACGGGCATTAAAATTTCTCAAATTGATATTAGCACAAACCTCCCTTTTCAGTGAGCTAACAGACACTAATAGTACAACTGATTTGCCTCCCCCTCCTTTTCCCTTCTGTCCTTTCTCCTTTCTCACATCCTAGATCCTTTTTCCTTTTGAACAATTTTTTCCTATTTCATAATATTGTATATTTTGGACCTTATTTACTCTTTCAGTCTTTCACATCAGGGGCACGATACTATGTTTACACATGTGAGTCTGATGTATTTCATTTATGAGTATGGTCTCTAGTTACATCCATCTACCTATAAAAGTTTCAAGTTTATCCTTCATTACAGTTGAATAGTACT